TCCAATGTTGAGTGATGATTGCTGTGGTTAATAATTTTGGGGAATTATTTACCGCTACAAACATCAACTGGCCAGTATACACATATTTTGAAGTAAAACACGATAGGGCAAAGTATTTCGAAGACAAGAGTAGAGCAGTCTCCTGAAACTACTAATTTCGTGAGTAGTTAAATTTGTCTCTGAATTAAGACTGAATGTAAATGGCATATTGTTAGGCTAAATGATTATTATTATTTAGTTACGTTAGTGTATCCGAGTACTATTTCACTCATAATTCTGTCTTTTGAATAACTTAGTAAAATAGGGTTTACTTCTAGTTTTTAATTACTAGGTAAAGGTTGATATCCCTGAGGGTTTCTTGATAAAAAGATTAAATTGTCACCAAAGTAAGTAAATATGTTCATATCTAGTAAATACTTAGGCTTGAAGTTGTTTTCTCTACTACCACAACATCAGTTGACTCACCAATTATGTTTTTTTATTACATATTTTGATTATAGCTTGAAACCATACCGTATTTCGGTACAAGTATGGAATTTTCAGTATGCGATATCGGTAGCCTAAATTTTTGCAGGCCGATCATTGATATCAGGTGTACGTTGGCAGGGGATCTAACCCCGGACCATGTGCATGGTTGGCGGGAGTTCTAACCGCTGTGCCGCCGACGCACAAAGTAAGGAAGAACTATATTCATAGGTTAATAGGATTAGACGCATGATATCAATTCGAAACTAGGTAACTACTATTCGCAGCTACAGAAAAAACCACGTTACAATCTATTCCTTTAATCGTGTCAGTCAATGTGACTTCAGTTAAGATTAGAGAAGGAACACCACTGGTTTTCAGAAAATCCATTTGTGTTCCCTAATATAATGTACATTCCGTAATTATAGGCAAACTAGGAAACACACCAAGTCATTAAATATATACGAACAATAATTGAGTGCACAAGGGAGGGTCGGTTCAAAGGAATGCCTTCTCGATATGGCCCAAAGTTCACGTGAAGTAGCAAATGCCTACATCTACAGATGCGTGTGTAAGGCATCGCATTTCGCCAGCCTTTCGTCTAAATGGCTCAATGGGACGCCTTCATATTTAACAAATGCTCAGTCCATGAATTCTACATGTACTTGCAGAAATTTTACAACAAAAGAATGCCCTTCTGGGATGTGGTGCCGTGTTACACTTCTGCTGTGTCACAAATGTTTCTGGCTGGGTTCCTCATTACCAAGTACTGTTGTCTATAAGAGTTCATTGAAGAAACCCTGCTGGGAGACATGGCAGCTTCACCGAAAATTCAATAGAGGCATTTCACTCACACAAGATGTAGACAGAAATCATTACACTTTTAACTCACTGCTCTTAGCCCTGCATTACTCAATAAATTTTCTCGTTTGGAAATGAAACATGTACATATATATTGTGTCAGTAACTGTAAATACACATTAACATCTAAATTTCATACTCCGTCTGTCTTACTACTCCATATAATAATAGTTTGATAGTTATTTACGAATGCGGTAAAAAGTATTTCATGTACCACGAGTAGCACTTGGTATTCAGCAGAGGTACGGGCACTTGGTGAAAGTATTTCAGAGAACTAATATGACGAGGTTGGCTTTTTTCTAACATATACGCACCTGTCAAAGTAGTTGAAGAACGAACGATCAATTCATGGTTGTTTGCTCAAACTCAACTCCATATTTTGGCGGGGGTCATCGATACTGCAGTCATCTTTCTATCGTTCGCTGTTTGTTAGAAGACGGAGAAAAACTATCAGAAACCAGGGTAGTCAGACCTGGACATTGACAGTTTCTGATAGTTTTTCTCTGTCTTCTAACAAACAGCGAACGATAGAAAGATGATTGCAGTATCGATGACCCCCGCCAAAATATGGAGTTGGGTTTGAGCAAACAACCATGAATTGATCGTTCGTTCTTCAACTACTTTGACAGCACCTATGAATGGAATGAAAAGATAATGACGAATTGTTATCACAAGCATTGTATTTATTATGTAGGGAATGCTATTGCAAGCAAACTTCACAGTAACATGTACAAGTCTTGCATGTCATTACATCAGTAATATAAGCGTAGTGGCTGTATTTCGGCCCGAAGTGAATAATCTCAAGGCTTCATACCAACAACTTTGTGGGAGGTGGATGTATTGAAAGACTGCTCGCAGACACTATGCATGACGACATCTAGTTGAGTGTCTACGAAGACTGATAACCCGCAATGAGGAAGACAAAAAATGAAACAATTATGAGACACATAACGCATAAGTATTTTTTATATAAGCATAAAACTTGGGCACTGTGATAGAGTATAACTCCATTATGGATATTTTATTTTGATAAATCACACAGTGTTGTACAGCAATATTATATGGTGACGTTTCGAGCACAAATTATTGCTCATGATTATATCAAGTCACTCACACAACTTTTCGCTTCATTCATATACATGAGTATTTTAGTTAAGCGTACTACGAGGATAAAAATCACTCATTTCATTCACTTCCTTTCACACTATTTCTTAAGTCCGTGTTACTGACTTTTGGTTTATGTTTTCTCTTTCGGTGTACTTTATCTGGACAATTTGAGGAATTGGGAAATGCATAGAGTAATCAGGAAACGGTATTAATGATTGTTTAAGCCAGTTAACACTGGAGTGAGTTGTGACACTCGGCAGCTGCAGTGGCGAAGCTGACTGAGTTTTTACACACTTGAAAATATTATATTTAGTCGGTAGTAAGCAAAATTATCGTAAGATAACTCTTTCTTTTAGTTTTACAAGGACCAAGTGAAAAAATACGATTATCACTTGTTGACATTTCGGTGACTATTATCCACTTTTTAACATTTCTTTTTACCTAAACTATATGTCATTCTGACTGACTGAATTTCAACATAGAAGCTTGTACACAAGTGCACCTTTTAGGTTATCATATTCCATGTAGCACACAAAGGTAGAGAAAAAAAATTAAATGGAACGCTGATGAGCATAAATGTGATGGAAAACGAACAGTGATATGAAAAAAATCTCACAGATATGTGAGATTACACAGAGTAAATGCATCTGTGTCATTAACAACGTTTGGAGTCACACTTCTACTTAACACTAAGCTTACCCCAGTATTACTCACCATATTAGACTACTTAAAACAAGAAAGGGCACAGACACTAAGATCGAAAACCAGTAGTCTTTTCATATCTTTCAGTTTCAATGGTCACTTCTCACAGCCTAAGTGGACAATACTATCAGCATACACTAATTTGACAAGACTGTTCCCTGGTAAGTCCCTAAAGTAATTGAAAGACAATTCTATCAATTTTAGTGAGATGAAATTGAACTGAAATAAGGACGACAGTTGCAAAAATGAGCCTTGTATTACTTCCTGCTTGGAAATATGAGTACCCACATAGTTTAGTTTCAGTACTAAGTGAATAGGGTGCAATCTGTAGAATTCAATAAATTCCCAAAATGACGCACTGCCTTTTCAAAAGTTATTTCAGATTCAGATTTCAGATTTATTGGTTGAGGATTGAAGGCTTGGAGCCTATGTTAATCCATTTCTAGTAAATTTCTGTGGTTGTTCAAACCCTTCATGAACGAATGAGTTGAGGTTGCAGACACCACTTCTTCTGGGTGTCGGTTCCAAGAGTTTGTGACTCGGTGTGAGAACCAGTACTCAACAGCAATATGATTACTTCGTGGCTTTTGAACTCTCCTGCTATGTCCTCTAAGGTGTTCCAACCTGGTCGGAAGGAAAGGAGAGAATAGGTCAGGTACGTAGTCATTATTTAAAATTTTAAATCTCCTCTCTGTCTGCGGTATGACAGTGAGAAGAGATTTAAACTGTCTAGTCTTTCCTCGTATGATAAATTAGTCATCCCGAGAACCATACGTGTTGCCTTCCTTTGAACCCTTTCTAGAATGTATGAGTCCCCTTTTAGACAAGGGCCGCTGGCCTGGATGCAGTTTTCAAGTCTTGACCTCACCAGAGATGTAAATAAGGAGGTGAACATATCTCTGGTGATTCTAGTGAAGGCTCTACGAATTGCCCATAATGACCTGAAACTATGCGCAGCCACCGCGCGACAGTGTGCTGTAGTTTTTAAGTCGTGGCTAATTATGACACCTAAGTCCAAGTGAGTCTGAACTGATGGAAGTGTAATTCCCTCCAGTTCGTAGGAGCTCGTGCTTGCTTGTCCAATGCGCATGGTTTTTTCACATTTTGCCACATTTATCGGGAGCATCCATTCTATGGACCACTCTGACAATTTGTTGAGGTCCTCTTGCAACGTGGACGTGTCACTGTTGCCCTTCAGCTCTCTCCAAATTTTTAAGTCATCTGCGTATAGGACCATAGGGGAGTCGGTGAGCAGAGATAACTCACTGATATACAAAATATATAGGAGAGGTCCGAGTACCGTGCCTTGTGGCACTCCGCTGCGTACTGCTTTCCAAGAGGAGAATTTCGAGTTGCTCCTAACCCTCTGCCTCCTATCTATGAGGAATTCCCTGAGCCAGTTTAGTAAGCTGCCTTTGATACCAAGACTTTCCAACTTCATGAGTAGTCTTTTGTGGGGTACTTTATCAAAGGCTTTCCTGAAGTCTATGAAGACGACGTCAACGGGTCTTCTGTTGTCCCTGGATTTGACCCAGCTTTCTCTTGCAGTGAGATTTGACAGGCATGAGAGGTTCTTTCGGAAGCCATGCTGTGCTCTTGATAATAAGCTTCTATTTTCTAGATATGCCATTATGCTTTTCTTGATGATTCTTTCCAGTGTCTTAATTAAAGTGCTGGTGAGACTAATAGGCCTGTAATTTGAAGGGCTTTGTCCATGGAATCGCAGTATTACATCAATTAAATCGTCCCCTTAACTCAAGGCCACTTGAAACTCATAGCAACTTAGCGACGAACATCGTAGCGGGGATATGCAATAAAGTCACTCTATTTTGTACGTTTAGAGTTTGTTTTGTTATTCAAATTAATGACCCTCACTGTAGGTCACGCATGGCGGTAACTGTACTCGTGCCTCGATGGCTCAGAAAACTGAGGATGTGAACCACGCTGTGGGTGACTCTTCTATCGTAAACAGGGGTCTGAAAATTCTCAATGGACTGAAGAAGATTAGTTTTGCATCGGAACATGCGTATGCACAACAAAATCAATCACTTGATATTTTAGGCTGACTGCTGCAATATTTACTGGCTTTCGGTCTATTCGTTTAGCTGCTGAATGGTAAAATAAACCAGAAATTTTTGTTATATTTAGGGTCGCATCTCATGCAAGGGATCCCTTGCTGTATACTGATTTCGAAGTGGATTTCCATGTATATATGAGCATAGACAAAAAGTTCGAATCTGATGTGCAATCATTCCTGTCGGCTGCACGGAGTTATATAGGATGGTCATACGTTTTTGACCGTCCACCTCATGTTCCAGTACTTCATCTGAGAGTAAGTGAATTATTTATGAGTAATTTTCAGGTGAAACCTCAAGATGGATTGGTTCTGGAATCCATTTTTGCTAAAACATTCAGTCTTTTTAATGCTAATCCCCCTACTGATGTTAAGATAGCACTTGAATTGCTGGTAGATACTGAAGCCTCTGTCGCTTTTAGATTCGCGGAACCCAAAGTATATGCTGTGCTTCAACAGCTCTCAGAAGCGTTCATCGAAAACCTGTCAAAAGGTGAGAAACTGTATTTTAAGTTCTGGTTAAACGTAATATAATATGTATATTAACTTCGAGGTGTTACTAACTGTCCATGGTCGTTTTAAAATGGGTTTTTGTGCTGTTCTCATTGAGATGGCGCAATACCTCTCTGCGTTGTGTATGTGTATTTTGATGTGCTGTAGTCCATCTGAAATATGTTGCATACGGTAACTATGCACTTATAGACCTTATTTTTCTTCCTTTGTGTGCATATGGTAATTTTCATGTATATGTCCTTTTATTAATCCTTCGGCTTGATTCCGTCTTTATTAGTCCTTCATCCTTCTTGATATTTTGGCATCCTTTTTTCCTCATCACGCCACTTATTCAGTTATGTATGTATCTGGTTGAAATAAAATTCAGATTTTTAAAGGAATGAACTTCTCTTCATGGTTGGTGACTGCAGATATTAAACTTATTGGTGTTGCCACAAATTTTCGGTTGTCAAAAACGTGCGATCTCAAATGGATGAACAACTTGTGCTTATTGTGCATTACTGCAGGTGTACGAATTACGAGTACCAACTACAGAAATAATTCGACTGACGAAATAGTTTTTAGTCATGCCTGAGCTGTGTAGCTCCAGTGACTTAAAGATTATTTCATGAACAATAATGATATAACCGTGTAGAATCCTTAACAGAAGTGAATTGATTTCAGGTTTCATATGATGACGAATCGACTTTAGGTGGTGGCAGAAATCAAGCTGTATTAAATGGTGGTGAGTTAGTGCAGTGTGGGTCTTCACACGTGCTACACAACTGTTACCAATTCGAAATTTTCAAATAAAGCATGTATAATCTGCTTCCTCTAACTAATTTTGCATGTCATCTTCACGAATTCTTTGCGATAGCAACTTGACAACACTTTTCTTTGTCAGTAGAACAGTTTAAAGTGAGATGTATAAGTATTTAGTCACTCAGTCATGTTTTTTCTCAAGTCTTACTAATTTTTGTTTCTTTAAAAATTTTTAATTGTCTAGTTGACTTAAGTTTTGAGGTGGTTTCCAACTCATGCAAATCAAATAATCTATTCACACTAGTCAGTAGCATTAAATCTTGTGATGAAATGAATCTGATTTTAAAGCAACTTAAAGAAGCTTATTTATCTAATCATTATTGTATCAATGATGGTAATCGCCAAATCAAATTCTGCTTATATTCACACGATCCCCGTTTGAGAGATTCAAATTTAGAGGTAGGTAGTTTCTTTGTGTTTTGTTTTATTGAATATTTTTTGTAACTACTAGGCACAACGAACTTGCTGCCTAAAATAGAAAGTAAGGGTTTGCAGTGTGGCAGTTGTAAGAACAATTCTTCCCCGTAGTTTTTGGTTGAAATAATGGTTATTTTCTTAATCTGCCTAATCCACTCAATATTTTTCTGGGAATAACCTTGATTCAGAAATAGCATTCAACTGTAGAACAGAGTTCATTTCTGGACTATATCCCATTTCACAGTTTATATTGTCTTGTCGAGTGAATATATAAGCATAAAAACGGGTGGAGGTACTAGTCGATATTTGGTACCAAAGTACTAAGGTACTAAGCAGCGTCTGGTATGCGATTGAATCCCGCCAAATGTAAGATGATATTACATGATTGGACTACACTGACTCCTAGTTTAGAAATAGGGAGTGAAGTGGTAGAGCACGTTGGTCTCAGCACATAAACAGCAGGCTCCATCTCTGACGTAGAAGTGATATTCGGCTGGCTGTCGACTAAAGGGCGGATGTACTGCTCTGCAGTCCTCTCCGTCCTCCTTTATGACTGTGTGACCTGGCCATTTGAGAATGGAAGACATGAAAAGACTAGCTGGCTGTCTTCGATCATAGGTACCTGCGTTCTATCGCCCGTGTGAAGTGGTATAGCGCTATTTTATTTTATTTTGGTTACAGCTTGAGAACGACTTTGAGCCATATCACCGATCGTCTCCAGCCATTGGTTTTTACCGTCCAAAGGACCCCAACCATGAAGTCTATACCTCCCTACTTGACTAGTTTTAGCTAACTGTTGTAGATTTGATTGACTGATGAATCCATGTTTTGCTTTGACCGCCACTGGCTCTTTTCTAACCTAACCCTATGTCAGCTAACATCGCCTGTCGGTCGAGGAAGGCGATGGCCAGGCTAGGCATACGTAACACATGTCCTAACCATCCCAGTCGATGTAGCTTCACAGCCTCGTCGATTGATTTCCCCTCCTTACCTAGCACTCGACCATTGCCTAACCTCAGTATTGCTCACCCTACTATACCACTTAACACACACGGGAGATAGAACGCAGGCACCTATGATCGAAGGCAGCTAGTCTTATCATGTCTTCCACTCACAATATGTGATCTGCTTGCTACTAAAAGTAGTAATCAAGAAGCCAAGGCTAAATGCATAACATTATATACTACAGATTGCTTGAGACAAGTAGTAGTAGTATTTGCTAGACAAATTGAAGTGATCTGCACACTCGCTCCTTTGACGTCTAGCTCCTCATAAGTGTGTACTCAGTGTTACTCAACTCAGAAAGCCAAGCCGCTTCAATCCGCCCGATTGCAGTCACATGGACGAGTCATCTATGAAGAAACTGATGAAGGAATCATAATCCTATTTAAAATGTCTACCGACAAATAGAAAATGTTGGTCGTCCTGTAAAATATTCACACGATCTGTGTGTGTGTGTATTTTACATTTGAATAACCTTCATACAGTTGCTTAGATCTAAGTAATTTTAAGGTAATCTGTAAACTGATATTCATATATTACCAGTCGTATATCATTTATCAGCTCTAATTATAAAAGTTGTTTATTTTTTGGAGGTGTGTGTGTGTGCACTAATTCCTTTTTTGTTTCCCTCTATTATTATCATTATTATTTTACTCCTTATGAAGGTATATGAAATGTTAACAAATGTAGAATCGGATATACTTGCCTATAATGACAACTATTGTACTACAAAAGTGGACGAAGACAGTGTAGAACAATTCTATAGTGGCAAAATACAAAATAATACTATTACTAAGAGTAATAGTAGTGGATTAACCTATTGTGATAATAGTAGCAATAATATATCTGATAATTCAACTACAAACAATTCATCACAGGAATATCACCATAAACACCTGTCACACTATGCTGGTGATTACATTCTATTAGTTGATTCTGTGTGTTTAAAAGAACGACTAGGCTGTCCGTATGGAATCAATCTGTCTACTGGTGAATCTGGTCTGTTCAATCTATCAGCCGGTAGACGTGTACCACAGAGTCAAACATGGACATTACACTGGTAAATTGTGAATGTGTTTGTTTTCTTTTCTTCTTTCTAAAAGCATAGTACTTTTGTGTTTTTTTTTATAAATTATGTACGTTTTGTCTTGGCAATCGATTTCTAACCGGTGAGTCGCGAGATGGAACCTCATCCCGCCTACTGAGGTTTGGTCAGCCAGGTGTAACATCGTTAGCCTTCACACAACAGGTGTGTGTGTGGCTTATTGCCAACTGCATGCGATTGCAGATGGTTGTTGAGTAGTATTCGCTCAATCAGTCTTTAGATTAAAAATGGGGAGAAAAAGGAGTATGATATGTTTGTTACGTGGTATACACTCATTTGAAGGGGATCGTCTCACCCAGTTGGGAATGATCTTACATAATAGCATTTAATTTAGATCTTTAAGCCTTCTCTTATGTTTCATAATCAGTAAAATCTGCTGTTTGTTTGGTTATTTTGTAAAATGAAGCCTTAAAATTAGGAGAATTCTTCTAGGAAATATGAATAGCTTTGAAGGAGATGAATAGCAGACCCTTAGGAAGTAAGCAGTATTACTTAACTGCTGGAATATTGACTGAAAAAAGGTTGGTATTCACCTGTGAGTAGTACTCATATCGATTAACTAGTGTCTCACATATCTCTTTGCCCTTGATCAGTTCTTTGTCATCATCAAAGTTTGGCGACCCAGTTAATGTGGTGCTTTATACTTTGATTAATGCTGACTTTAATTTTGTTTTTCTTCTAGTCATATGGATACATGTAAAGCTTCAGAATTATCTGTGGAGCTATTAGGCAATATTTTTCGAATGCAGAAAAAAGCCACTTGAAATAATTGTGTTGCAATACTCTATGACTGTAAGGAAACGTGTAGATATCGTGTCGGATTCTGAATTTGCTTATTACACAGTTTCACCACGGTTTCCATTGGAAACCGAATTTATTCAGATAATAATAGGTAGCCTATTTGATGCCATAAATGCGCTAGTGAGAAAAGTAAGCAGCAATCCATGATGATATACACTACTGATTGATTCATATGAGTAGTGAGATATCGCTGACATCAGCCAGTAGGATTTGATAGACATCCAAATCAAAATGGTCAAAACACCCACATGGTTAGCAGGTACCACTAGTTGATGCGAGTGCTATTCAACTACTCATATCGGTCAGTCAGTATTATTAAACACCAAAACGCATACATGTCATATAAGTCACTTGGTTAATGGTGTGGAGGACACGCGTGTTTTGGCTGATTATACTTGCATCTTCTAGGAGTGATGGTGACATTACTGGAGCGTCTGTACTGAGAACTGGGCGGGTTAACACACAGACCGAGTATTTCAGTTGACTAAAATCAATCACCGCAAAATTCAAAATAATAATTGAAAGTTGTTAAAACATACAAATAAACAACATAGTTGATTTATACATATTATAGTGCAAAGTTCAGGAGGGTGAGGGTGAATAGCGAAGTAGAATTATAAAATAGATAAAATAATTTAATTTATTAGTAGATTTAGAACCTTAAGAGTGAGTTCAACTCAGTCAGTGAGTGAAAATCAGAAATCAAGATTTAGTGGAATTTCATGCCACAGAACAAAACAATTATGGTTACAGGGGTAGTGAGAGACTAGTCACACTATCTTTCTGTATGCATAGGTTGGGTCGAAGCCTTTTGATGGTAATGACTTCTACGAACCGAAGTAACCACGCTTTTCTTTGTGTATTGATTGATTATTTTGAAAGCCTGACTAATTTCCACTGTATGTCCCGTGTCAGTCAATTAGGTGTCTGGCGATTGCTCTTGAGAACATTTTTCTGTCTTTCATACAGAGACTTTTAGGGATATGCTCGGAGAATCTACTACACACTGTCCTCTTGCCTTTTATATATTCATTCATGATGTCCATTTAATTACCATAACACCAATTTTACTCTATTTTTAATTTTTAGTTCTGTCCCTGTAAAATTATCGTCACCAATGGAATCATCTGTTGGACGCATTTGCACAGTAAGTAAAGTACATTGTCTTTTTTTTTTAAAGTGAATTATTGCCTTAATTGATATGCTTCCATTAGTTTAGGCTATCGACTTTAGAGCCATGGAGTTCTGATTTCAAATCTCACTTTGCCCTACTTTAGCCTGGAAAACTCAGGGTGATCATTTCTCTCTCTCTCTCTCTCACCTGGGCCTAGCTTTGGTATATGGAAAATCTGTTAGGCACAGTTGATTTCTGATTGGCTGTTTTTTCCCTAGTTTATATTTCAGATCACCAACAAATTAGATTTGCTTTCAAGGGAATTCGGTTAATTTCAAGGTAGATCATAAACTGACCTCAGACAGAGGACCACTAAAAGTCAGAGATACATTTGATGGCTGTTTTCTTGTAGTTTACCACTTCTCGGCAGTACGCATCTGCAACCCACCTCACACGCTGGGGATCTAACCGAAGACCTTCAGGTTATCACTATGCTTGGTGGTGGATAACATTGGAAAGTCTAAGACACCTATTTCCTCCTATTCTGAAACTCGTCAACTGGACGTAGCTGTGTGTGTGTCAGTGAATGACAAAGAGAAAGGTGGGATCTAGCACCCGTCATTTCAAACGCTAAAGTGTTATCCACCGGAGTATGATAACCACTTCTTGTTCAATGCGTGTCTGAGTAGAAGTGTTCTCGACTAGAATTGGAATCTTCATATGCTTAATCCTCTTTATGAATTTTATTAAAGCAAAAACAACGATTTGTGCAGAATAAGACGGTTCCGTCGTTTATTACGCTGGCTTCTCATCGGCTGCTTACAGCCTGAAGAAATTATCAAGCTTATGTACAGAAAATAAACGTCTAGATACAGTGACAAAGGAGTTGTGTAACAAATATAAGAGGCAATGATAAGGCAATGAGAGTAACTGATAAGTTGAGTAACAATGTGGTGGGTTCAGCTCAAATCATAGAAACAAGAGACAAGCATAGTTAGACAATAGTATAGGGGGCAGAGGTTAGCGCTAAAGTTTCGTTTGAATGCTATTCACACCTGAATCCATGAGAAACAAAAGATTCACTGTCCAGGTTATAGTCATTCTTCACCTAATCAAAATGTGAATATTTCAATCGTGTTATCCTTTGTGATAAAATAATCTATCGTGGATTGGCACAAGTTGAAATCCATGACTCATTGGGTTGGGTCCCAGTGGTTGAATGGCCTACGAACTCACCCTGTAAGCCGTAGGCCCAAGGTGTTCGAAGCCTGGTGGGTGGGTGCGCACTAATGAAGAGTCCCGAAATAAGACAAAACAGCCGTCCAGAACTCACGGATTTTCCAATCTTTCTCTAATTGATGTTAACTCGTGATCAAACCTATAAATTTATTGTTTAAAAGCTTCCATAAGTGTCATGACAGATGATTATACTTTTGGTTAGCTGTTTAAATAATATATTGTGTCACCATGTGAAATGATTTAGGCTAAACACTTCACACTTCTGAATGTACTTCATCTTCCTATCATAAATTTTCACAGGTCGATTGTAGTTTGTGTGTTGACCTTTGTTTATTCATTCACACACACACACACACACACACAACGAAACTGCTTGTCATGTGTTGATATTTTCGAATTGTGTGTTAATTTACCTCTGACACAGGTGGTTTGAGGTTCGATTCCCTCCCGGTGCACTCCTAAACCTCTCACACAGCTAGTAGTAAGTTTGGTTAAGAGGGAAGGTTACGCGAGAGTGGCTAGCAACATCACACCCCATAAAGTAATGACCTCACAGCTACTGAAACTTCACTTGGAACTCAAAGGGAATGAATGTGAACTAATTTACCTGATCTTTGTAGTACTTTTTTGCCGTTAATCGATAAACGTGCAAATTTTGATATTATTATTATATTGTTCCCTTGGGTTCCTAGTGGAACATAGGGCTTCAATTACACGTTTCCACTTGCTTCTGTCATCTGCTGTACTTTTCACCTGTATCCATGTTAGTCCATACTGTTTCAGTTCTTCATCTGACGATCTCCTCCATGTCACCCTGGGACGTCCCACTCGCCGATTCCCTTTCGGGTTCCACTCGAGCGTTGGTCTGACACGCGATGTCACCCAACAGCCTCCTCAGCGAGTGTCCAATCCATCTCCACTTTCTCCTGCATATATGTTGGGTGATTGGTTCTTGTTTTGTTTGTTTCTTGTTGGTTCTTGTTCTTTCCGGCCATTTGATTTTCAGTATAGAGCGACGAAGACAGCTGTTGATAAAGGTCTGCAACAGGCTGTTGGAAATATTCTTTGTGATCCTCCAAGTTTCCGATCCGTATAGAAGAACTGACTGACTTGACATTTGTATTGAAAATCCGAATTTTGTTGTTGATGCTGAGTTGAGTGACGAAGATTTCCAGATTGGTTTCAGGTTGATGAATGTGTTTCTCGCATTCCCGATTCCCGATTTGACATCTTCGTCCGTTCCTCCTGTGGTTGAGACAATGCTCCCTAGATAAGTGAAGTGAATGAAGTAACCTCTTTCAAATCCCTCCCGTTGATGGTGATTGGCGGTGGATGCTACTGCTGTTGTTGTTGTTGGTTGGTTATTTTCATAACCTCCGTCTTGTCTATGTTCACCTACTATTCGTTACAAATATTTGTTCCGAATAGGACACAGGGCTTTAGTAGCACATTTTCGAGGCACTGGGTTCTGTCTGCAATATCGCTTTCAACTAGGTCCACAACTGACCAGAAGGTTTTATTTCCTTCGCGCCAGGTGATTTTGTCCGTATCACCTTCAAACACCCAACCCATCATTTCGTATTCGGTTTCCACTAAAAATGGATTTGCTTGTGATATCAGTTTAAGGTGTCCTCAGAGTATATGCAATCCATCTTCGTCTAGATATTTGTTGTGTAACAAATAGGTTTTTGGCTGATTGGCTGACTGCCAGGGCTCTCCTTGTTGGGGTATTTTTCTAGCCAACCGTCTAATATTCATTATCGAGTAGAGAATAGAAGTAAAAAGAACAAACATTTCATTGAAGGGACTTTTTTTGTTGCGTGAATCCATTCAGTGAGGGAATGAATTCGCTCCGAATAGTGTACCTCTTCGTAGAATTGTCTATTTCCTCTTCCCAATATCAAGGTGAACATTTTTTCATGTAATGAATAAGAATTCGTCGTCAGTTCAACGTTAGAATGCTCGCCAACCGCACATGTGGTGCGGAGTTCGGTTCTCGGCCGATGCACACCTTTAAACCTCACTTGGCTTGTAGTAAGCTCCGTAAAGAGCGAAGGTTGGGTGTGAGACTAGTGACTCCATCCTTTAAAAAAACCAACAACAGCACTCCTGCGGAAACTTCAAAGAATAAGACCCTTCTCATTTGTGAAAAAATTATATAAAGAATCCTGTTACCCCATATACTATTTTAGAATTTTAATCTCACCTCATTACTTTGAAAATCTGTTTTCTACATACAAATCAGAATTTACAATCTCAATTTCAATTATTTTAGAACGTATATTTTGTCATGCACACAAGAGATTAACTAAGTTGTCTAATCATGTGATTTCTTCCGCTCGCGCAAGCGAGCGTGTGTGTGCTGTCTCTCTCCCTATCTGAAAGAAACATTAGCATTTCAGATGCATCTTTCTATGCCTTTTACCGTTTTTGTCTTTATACGGCACTTTTTCTTTGTCACTGCAATGTGTTTGTGTGTGTGTGTTGTGTTCATCATTCCGATTATAATTATTCGATTTGAGACTGTTAAAGAGGAATATGAGCAGACATTATTTATGCGTGCGTCATGTGTGTATGTGTGTGTGTTTGCACTCTTTAAGTGCTCGTCTGTCTGCTTCTGCATTGACGCACAACCACACACACAGAGATTAACACAATCGAGTACCACCGTCTGTGCGGTCCACTTGATTCAGTAAATAGTTTCTCTCGTGAATGTATATAATAATAATAATACCTATTAGCGCTGAATTCCTTCATTTCTCTATGTGTGTGTTCACTTTGAGTGTTTGTGTGTGTGTGAGAGTGGTTGTGTGCGCGACTGCATTCATGACATTCATTTTTGCTTGAATCACGTGATTTCTTCTTTTTGACTTGAAGTTCCTTCTTATTGTCTTGTCTATTGAATATTTTCAAGTATTGATTTTGTAGGGACTTTGTTTGATTGGTTGGAGGATTTCATGATGAGCTGACATCAGTTAGAGAAGCATTGGAAAGCCAACTCTGGGAGTACTGGACAGCTGTTTCCTCCATCTTAGTTTGGGACTCTTCGGCAGTATGCACCAACCCACCGACCGCCAGGGTTTGAACCCAAGACCTCCCTTCTGGTTACAAGGCGGGCAAGCTAGCTAGCTCGTATACCACATTAAGCCAGCCACCATTGGGACCCGTTGCAATATTTGAAAATAACAAAGTACAATGTACTGGTTTTCCAGTGTTCCACAATCGAATGACACTCATACGTCCATGATTTTGACTTTTGTTTGTTTGTTTGTGTGAATTGTCAATACACATTGAACATTGACTAATTTTCAGTATTGGTATTTTTGTTTTTTTGAATATTGTTTTGTCTATTTAATAAGTGTGTCGATGTTATTACTTATATCATTGTAATTTGTCCTTTGCAACCTCTTCTACACTATTAGTTGCACTGTGTAAATGTAGAACTTGCGCTCTGTGTGGTAAAGAATTTAATTCCGTATTAGATGTAGGTCTGTTCGATAATAACACACAGTAATACAGTATTAATTACTGGATTGGATGAGGTTTTGAGTACAATTTATTGCTGATCATAATCATCACATCAAAAGTATTCACATGACTTTGTTTATTGCTTCGTTTATATACATGATGACAGTAACATTGTATCTGAATGTAGTTTTGTGGTGAGAGCTATCTGCTAGCCAAAATTGTAGACAACTATTTCCGTCAATGTTTCCATCCCGAACCGGAGTGATGAGAAGAAAAAGTAACAAAGCTTAACCTTGAGAAACTCACCAGCCAGTCACAGGAGACTTAACGTGGACAGATACTATTCGCAGATACACCACCGGACTGTCTAAGAAACGTTAACAAAGAGATGACAGAGGAGGACGTTGCTTCTCTGCTAACGATAACCCTAATAATGATGTACATAAAAATCTATAAATATCGGTTGATTTTCTCAATAAGCGATCTGTTGCCTGGTGCTGGTCCTCTGTGGTTACACTTTAGCTCTTCCTCTCTGTTTCACTCATGTCTACTGGACTTTTACTGATTATTATTCAAATTAATCTAATCAATATTTACTCATGTATGCGTCGGTGGCATAGCGGTTAGGACGCTCGCCGACCATGCACATGGTCCGGGGTTCGATCCCCGGCCGACGAACTCCTTTACCTCGCTAAGCCGGTAATAATGCTGGTGAAGAGGAATGGTTGGGCATGAGGCTAGTAACCCCATCCTGTAAATTAAACACTGCTACAGAAACTTCAAGCCACTAGCTTGAAGCCCTATGTTCCACTGGGAACGTGAAGGAAAAAACGACGTTGCAAACGAAGCAAGAATAATTTGATTTATTCCAAAACAGTACTTGTGATACAGATTGGAACTCTCAGCATTTCACTACAGTATTGCATCCAGTTAATACATTATCAATAAATAGAATTCTACATAGATTATGGGTAGTCTCAGTTAATTTTGACGACAACAACATATTAGAATACCGGTAGCAAAGCCAAAAGTGAACAGAATGTTTGAAGGTGTTAGCAAAGTAGATGCTAGCATATTTACTGGCGTTAGCGGTAACAAAAAGGTCGAGATATACAGATTGTGAAAGAACGAAGAAGGATGTTTTAAGTAGAGTTTGTAAGGAAGAGAGAAAGAAAACAGCACATAACAAAAAAAGAACACAAAACAAAAACAAAGAAACGGAAAAAAAGAGAAAAGGAAAAGAAAGAAAACGTCGTACCTGTGAATGGTATGAGTTGGAAAGACGAGATTCAGTTGTTCTACTGACTATTTAATAAGGTATAAGTCTCACACCTAATGCTTTCTTTATCGCACAGAACACGAGCCAAGTAGGGTATGGTTGAGTTTTTGTACTTGCTAATGCGAGCATATAGTTTTCTATGTAGGCTTCCGGTCCTGCCTGATGAGATACAAGGGGAGAGTTGTGAATCAAGAGGGTGGTGTAAGTTAGATAGGAATGGATTTAGCCCATTTTTCACATGAGTCCAAGTGCCTGTCTGTCGACCAGAATATTAACAAGCTGGTTAAGTGGCACATTGCTAACCCTGCTGATAACCTTTAACACCCTACGTAATAAGATATAGTCCTTCTTCAGAAAATTGTGTATGAGTACTTTGATATGATTATGAGTGAGCAGCAATAAATTGTGCTCAATCAGTAAATATCATTTTGTAACACTTTATCCCTATTGGAATTATGCTGTACCACAGTGCCCAAGTTTTATCCGTATCGCGCGAGGAAAACACCTCGCCTGATAGGTTTTTATTCTCACTCGGATATCACCTGGAATTTGTCTTCCTTCTTGTCCTTTTTTTCAATGAATTTGTACCATTTGCGTTATTGGATAGTCAGTTCACAATTACTTAACTAACTATACGTATATAGCATAGGTTAATTAAATTCTATGCATTTCTTTTTCCCCGAACTAATTATCTACAAGGATGAAAATATCAGTGAAGAGTTCAGAAAGCAGACAAGTCAAAATTCTAGTCTTATCGCGGTCAACTTAAATTCATCATGTCGTATGCCGCCGCCACTACTGCGGCAGACATTGTCCTCGTCATCATCATCAACATCATCGTCATCTTCAGTGTCACCGTCATTTCCGCAGTCGATGTTGTGGAAACATTCTTCTCGGTCTTCTCACTCATCTTCATCTGAGTCGGCTAGTGATGATCGTGAAAGGAATAATAATAATAATGATAATGCTAATAATTCTACTGAACGGACTGATACTACAACTGTTACCAGTCATTACAGTACAACAACAACAGCGTCAACACCAGCAACTACACCAAGTCAAGCGAGTGTACACTTTAAGTGTGGTGGTGCAACAACAAGTTGTTCTGAGGAATTTCAATTGAAGTTAATAACCAGTCATAACAACAATAATTATAATGAGAACTTGAATAGTGCTAATGTTGATAATGGCAATAAAAGTGGTAGTGGCCGGCATAAAATAACAAATAGTAGTACTACTGCGAAACGCCATAATCATGCTAAAAGAAGGCAAATGTATGTTATGCGACACGCTGAACGTGTAGACATGAGTTTTGGTCATGCATGGGTTACTCAGTGTTTTGATCATAAAGGTAGGTCTCACAAGTGTGTTATTACAGTTATTGATTATTATTATAATATTATTACTTGGTTTTAAACGTATTCCGATTCCATTCTGTTAGTGGTTGGTTGATACATGTATTGTTAGAGTTGAGAAATCTCAGCACGGATCCAAAAATCTCGGGCTGCTTTCGCTAACAACTCACGCCATCTCTGGCGTAGGCGTGACATCCGACTATGAGCCAACGGACGTGTGTGTACTGCTCAGCAGTTGGCTCCGTCCTTCTCTATGGCTCTGAAACATGGCCAATACGAGTTGAAGACATGAAAAGGTTGACTGTTTTTGATCATAGATGTCTACGATCTCTTTCTCACGTTAGGTGGTATAATAAGGTAAGTAATGTTGATGTTAGGCGTAGAGTGTTGGGCAAAGAGGGAAAATCAATCGAAGAGGCTATAAAGTTACATAGATTGAGATGGCGAGGTCACGTGCTGCACATGCCTAACCATCGCCTCCCCCGACGGGCATTACTAGCTGATATAGGTGCAGGTTGGAAGTGGTAAGAGTAAGTGGTGGCCAAACAAAAACATGGCCTCATCAATCCATGAAATCCTTGACAGTTAAACTGAGTCAGGTAGGGAGATGCAGACTTCCTGACTGGTTGCGGCCCGCCCTCGGGACTCTAAGAATCATTGGCTGTAGACAATAGGTGACATGGCTCAAAATCGTTGTCAATGGCTTACGCAGATGTATTCAGTCTCTGTAATCTTTCATATTCCTTTCTACCATTACTCATTCATTCTGTTTCACTCTTATACTTGTCAAAGCTCTATTGATTCTCTTCACTCATTTTCTTGTCTACCTTTGTGTGGTATTTGGAACGTGGCAAATGGAACTGCTGCACTTCGGTGCCAAGTTCTATGTTGAATCCAAACAGATAGAGTTGAGAAAAGCAATCAGTAGGGAGCAGTGGACGTAGATTTCGTGCTTGGTGGCACTTATCAATAAGACGTATGTATCTACAATCTTCAAGGAAGTCATGCGACTTATGAGTTTTGAACACGGAGTATCTAGCGCTGCAGTCAATGACGTTACCACTGAGATATATGCGGACTCGTGATTAACCTCCTGTAACGCTGTAATGGATAGTTTGTTTGAACTCTATGTATTAGTAAATAGTGCCGTGTCTGTAAGTATGGTATGTACTTTGCGCCGTCTAAGTGCAAAGTATTGTTACAAGATTGGCAGGAGCCTGTACCTGCACTCACTCTTGCGGGTGAACCGCTCGAAGTTGTCGATAAGTTTGTGTACCTAGGTAGTTGTGTGAGTGCTGGTGGAGGGGTGACCGATGAGATTTCCAACCGTATAATGAAGGCTAGGGTGGCATAAATCAACTTGAGCCACCTCTGGCGCCGTCGCGACGTTAGCCTGGCTGTCAAAGGTCGGGTATACAATGCTTCGGTGTGGGCTGTCTTGCTCTACGCCTGTGAAACCTGGCCTCTCCGAGCTGAGGATGTGCGGCGGCTCTGCGTGTTCGATCATCGCTGTCCAATGTACCTTGATTCACAAGAGTAGGTGAATTGATAAATGCACATGTAGGTGGCCAGACGGAGAACAACTTACGGCTGATAAAGGTGATTTGCAATTTTGCAGCCATGGACGTCTCACTTACTGATTTAGAGAAACGAGTTTTGAGCATATCTAAAGCCTGATGATAGCCTTTGAATTCCAAATTCATGAATATGGTTTCCTTTGAAAGTGAGTGCTTATCTTTTGTGTTTTTTTTTGTCAAGAAATCGGTTGGGGTAACCGTTTTCTTTCTCCTGCGAACGTGTGGCTTTTTGGGAGGAGGAAGGGAAGTTCTCAGTCGACACAGTCAGAACTACAAATGTTTCTTATCGTTTAAGCAGAGTGAGAGAATATTGTTTTTATTGTTTCTACTCAGTTTAAATCATTAATCTAAATGCCTTGTTAAAACGACTTACTCCTCCTTATTATACAATGTAAAGAGAAAATTAGAGAGATGCAATGTTACATAGTGTATGCTGGAAATTCCACATTGTACCGAATGTACTGTTTGGAATAAAGCTACTATTATTATCCAGTCAATAAACATATGATAAAAGTAAAGATAATTAAAGTGATGTATTAGCGTGGTAGATTTGAAGTGGATGAATTACAAAACTTTAAAAGATTATCAAATAAGTGAATTGGTATTAAGATTTAAAAAATTGTAGGTCAAGTGTTGTCTAAAATATTTAAAAGTACGATAATGATAACAATAAAGACGGCGAAAGTGGATTGAAGTGGAATGAATTCAAGTGGTAAAATAGAATAAAATGAAAAGAACATCGCTCTATAACCAAGGTAAAGAAAGGGGTTAAACAAAATGTTTTTGAATACATAATTTGAATTTTTGTCCATGTATAGCTACGGCTTTGGCTATGCATAAGTGGAGAAAACAAGCTTTTTGAGTGGTTGGATTTGGTTCCGCAGATAACCTTACAGGATAAATTGCATGGAGCCGCATGACCTGATTCCAGAAGGTGTTCACAAATTGAAGACTTCTTCGTCCTATGCTCAGCTTTCACTAACCAAATGGGGAAGTGCTCAGGTATGCGTTTACAGAGAACACGCTTACAATGTCCAGTGTAGTCAGCTCCACAGGAGCGTGTGAATGAGTATATGCACATAGAGATGGACATAAGCGGTAGTTTATCCTTGACGTATTGTCGAATCATATTTTGGTTGGTAAATACTAAATGTAAGTCAGCTGCATAAAAAGATCGTTTAATACATTTAGATAAACGACTTTTAATTACTTCAACGATAGTCACCTTTGAACGCTAAGCTCATAAACATTATCTTCTTTGACACTGTGATTTGGCTGGGGACCGTTTCTTTCTTGATGTTTCTGTCAGTACACCTAAGATATCCATTAATTAAGAGAGTTGTGCGAAGGTTTTCTGGTTCTATGTTCCGAATTCTGGAGCATAGAGATACCTAACTGTTGAAGTTCGTGTACACTACCCTATGAATGCTGGCTTTCGGTAAATCGCCTTTTTTAAAGTACCATCCTCTCTTCTGTCTAGCATAATATCTAAGAAGTGAAAAGCAGAATTCGACTCTTCTTCGATAGTGAAAAGCATAGATGGGAGAGAACCATTAGATTTTCCAAGATGCTCGCCAGTTAAATAGTCATCATCACAAATAATAGATATGTCATCCATACATATATCTTATACATATGTACATTCGGGATAGTTTCTTTCAATGGAACATTCTCTAAGCTTGTCATGAAGACATCCGCTAGGAAAGGTTCTAATGGACACCCTGTGGCGAACATTTTAATACCAGTTCACTTATTTAATAATTTTTAAGAAACTTTGTAATTCATCCACCTCAGCTATGCTCTGTTGAAACATCATTTTAATTCTCTTTATTCTTATCATATTTGCGCCTTTGACTGAGCAATTTCTAGTGCTACAGAATACCTTTTTCCGTAATGCAAATACTACTGTACCGAATAAAAAGTTCAACGAAGAGTCTCTTTTTTGGGCGAATTCATTCACGTAGCTGTACAACAGCATTCATGTATAATTATTATTTTTTTTTGTGTGTACATTAGGATTGTCAAACAAAAATAGAATAAAAATTAGTTAGCGTTACTGTTTACGTCATCAAAATGTTTCAAAAATATGAAGAATAATCAAATTTTAACTACGGGACGACGAAGACTCGTAAGTGTATTGACAAGGATGGTTGCGCTATGTGAATGACGCCCAGAAAAAATAGCATATTCATGAAAGAGTATGGCGACAAGTGTCCAGAATAAATTACGTAATAGGTGGAAAGAGTAAATGAAAGGTTGTTTAAGAAAAAAGATGTTACTAAAATGTCATAAAAAAATTCAAAAAAGGCCATATTAACGAAGTAGTCGAACTTGGAATTATAGCCAAGGCAGTAGGAGGAGGGAGTGGAGAAGTTTCGTCTGTGTAGATGAGTCAGGGTTTCCCATCCGGATCGTTAAGAGCCTCAGCAATGTAAAGTATGCAGAAGCTTACCGCTTTCAACGGAAGGCTTCTTTTGACTTTGTAGATTAGATGACTTTGAATGAATTCTCATCACATACTGAGTAGTGACCAGTGTTGAATAGTAATAGGAAGTGAAGTGGTAGAGCACGTTGACCCCTTCACTTACTTGGGAAGTACCATCAGCCCCAACGGGTTGATCTCTGACGAAATCTCAGCCCAGATACAGAGGGCTAGTTTCCCATATGCCAGTTTACGCCGTCTCTGGCGTAGACGTGATATCCGGCAGGCTATCGACCAACAGTCCGCTCCGTCCTCCTTTATGACTGTGAGACCTGGTCATTTGAGAGTGGAAGATATGAAAAGACTGGCTGTCTTTGATCATAGGTGTCTGCGTTCTATCTCCCGTGTGAAGTGGTATAATAAGGTGAGCAATATTGAGGTTAGGCGTCGAGTGCTAGGTGAGGAGGGGAAATTAATCGATAAGATTGTGAAGCTACATTGGTTGAGATGGTTAGGACATGTGTTACGTATGCATGCCTAGTCATCGCCTTCCTCGACAACGGGCAATGTTAGCTGATATAGGGTCAGGCTGGAAAAGAGCTAGGGGCGGTCAAACGAAAACATGGCACCAGTCAATGAAATCTACGACAGTTAGTCTAAGCCACGTAGAGAGGTGTAGACTTCCTGGTTGGGGTCCTCGGGACGGTAAAAACCAATGGTTGGAAACAATTGGTGACATGGCTCAAAATCCTCGTTCTCAATGGCTGGTGCAGATGCATCCACTCCTTGTGACTTATAATTTCCAATGAAACTATATCGTTCTTCGTTAATATTATTCCTTTGTCTCACACCTCTGTTTACTGTCTCTATTGTGCATTTCTTTTTACTTTCTTCTCTTGATTTGTGTGCTAGATGGAGTGTGGCGACTTGAACTGCTGCACATCGGTGCAAAGTTCTATGTCGTAAACAGATAGACAGTGTTGAATATACGTTCAATTATAGCACTCTTTATTGATCCACTGTTACCTATTCGTAGGCAAGCAGGATAATGTTGTGGTCAAATGAGATAGTTTATCTATGGAGTTGTTGAGGAACAATGGGCAGCTTGAAAATACCAGTCATAATGTAGCAGCAGAGAATATTCTTTTCAGGACGCTAGATATCCTTCTCTTTAGGGTGTTGGCGAGAAGGTCGTCTTTGAATGCCACATTCATGTCACAGAGATAGGTTGTTCTTTGTTGTTTTCCAGCTTTACGTGTTAATCTGTAGTGCTTGATGTTTAGCCATTCTCAAGTAGTGTCTTCTTCAAAAGAGTGATCTCTTGTTCTATTGATTCGGGGCTGCATATTCTACGGATTCCAGTCGCCAGAGGCATTATCACGTTCCGCTTGCGATTGATGGGTACCCATCTAACAGTAAAAGTTCGTCAGCCGGCCGTTCTACACAGGCTTTCGATATATTGATCTCTCTTCAGAGTCCCATCAGTCTTCATTGTTGGTCGAGCATCCAGAATTGAGATTTTCTCTCCGGTTTCTGCTTCAATTGTAAGTTTTGGTGACTGGGTGGCAGCTATTGAAAGCCTGAAGCACATTGTTTAGGTCACTATTTCTTATCACAGATGATAAAAGCGTCATCAACGTACCTTTTGTACAGAGAGAAGTCCATTGTCGGTTGCAACGGATCATTTTCAAAACTTACCATGAAAATATCCGCAAGTAATGAGCCTTTATTTACAACAAGATGTGGTGGCCATGGGTTCACCTTTGTGTAGCCACGTCTTCACCTCCATTGTTTTGTTTTAATTATTTTAAATTGCGAAATATTGTAGGAGTCTATTATTGTTGTTATTGTTTTTATATCATGTAGGAGTGTATCGTAGATTCAACTTAAATCTCCCACCATGGTTACCGACCAGATCAGATTGTTTAGAGTATATTTTGGACTCACCAATTACTCAGGTTGGATTATTTGTATCAGCTGAAACTGGTCGAGCACTGGCCGATGCTGGAGTCCAATTTACTGCGTGTTATTGTTCACCAGCTTTTCGATGTGTTCAAACTGCCTGTGAATTATTACGAGCAATGGGTCGTGTAAGTGATTGTATAGCTGAATTACTTAAAATTGTATGTTTGTATTCATTTCCTCGTACAATATTATCTCCTCATCAGTGAAACTATATCATGTATTTTATTGGCAAAAACGACGTCGTACGGCTGAGAGAGTGGGTAGACTTCTGTCTTTCTATAGAAATGCTACAGGTTCACCACAGACATTGCCACTACAAGTCTAAGCGGTGGGGATGCTCCTTACAAGAGTAAAAAGACGATTGGAAACGTCTAGTACAAGTTCAAGTCTACTCAGAGGAGCTGGAAAGCCTAATGGCAAACCTATGATGCACATGTGCTCCAGAATCCGAACGAATTAAATGGCATGTGGATTTGTTTTGGTCGCTGGCAATCATGGGAATGCAGCTCCCGACTTGGAGGGAAATGGCCATCTAAGGCAACCAACTGCTCTGGTGTGAATGTCCGGGTAGTGTCCTAGCCCTTGCATAAACTATGAGATTTCGTGTGTCGTATCCTTTGATGTCCATAATGTAATATAATGTACCTTAGTTTGAATAGTAAGCCCTCAGTTTAAGCCTCATTTATGGATTCAAAGACAAGGATATGACTGCCATTTCGAAGTATTTTAGAGAGAAGATGGTGTGGGTAAAATTAAACTATCATAGCTATAAAACCACAGTGACCTTGAACAACTAATCAGTATTCAGATGCGAAAAAGTAGCATAATTCTTAAAAAATGTACTAATAAACATTAAAAATATCATGTAACATTGGGTAATCGTCTCTGGTGTGTTGTAAGAATGTATCCGAGTTACTCCAGAGAGATAGTCCATATAGAAATCTCTACTATCTGCGACAGGTATATTCATGCAAGTGATTGTAGATCATGGTACTTTGAGGTCAATGGATATTCCTGTCATTTCTTTAACCTTCTCCTAACCCTAACCCTAACTCCAACCCTCCATAATAGCATAGATTTACAGTTGAAAATACCCAAGGATTAAGTAGAATACTGTACCTATCCACATGGGCAGGCTGGATCTAATTTGAAACGACGTTTCATGGCATTCCCTAAATCTGATTGGCTATTGAAGGCCAACTTTTGAAAAACCTTGACATCGGTTACAAACGTTAACAACAGATCTTTTACTATCTGAAATGTCACAGTCAATATTTAACACTTGGCAGCTATACCGAATGTATTTATGTTTCAAATTGGTCTTAACAAACACTAAATTCACTAGTGATTTTAAAGAATTAACAACCAATGAAAGTCCATATCTATCACAAAAAGTGGGAATTTCAAAATGTACCATCAGTGTACGAAAATGGTAATATTTTATAGTTATTTTATAGTTACGTAGTGTAGATACTTTTCCCGAGAAATCCAGAGCGTAAAATCGAAATATAATTATTGAAACCTCGAATTGTGACGTGTCTTTGCCTGAATGCCATCAAATGGGCAGTCAGTGTGCGTCAATAAGAAAGGCAGCAAAGTTGGCGTCGAAGGCGATCTATGGTCAGACTAAACAGCGTGCGAATACTAGACAAAGAATAAAGCTATTCGATACTTTTGATTGGACACTACTTAGTAACTAGGTTATTGTGTCTAGTCTTTTGTTTGGTGCAGACTAAATTCTATCGTCACTCAAGCTTGCAGTGTGGCCACCATGCCACTAGGTGGCTCGCCATCACGGTGCACTTTGAATTGTTGATATTGGATGGTTGGAGGCAATTGGCAGGAAGCCTTGCTTGACCTGGGTTTCATGCTACTTGCCATTCACCAGTCAGCAAGAGTGCGTATCTGCAACTAACTACCTTGAAGGAACACATGTTCCTTCTGAGATTCGAACCCGCGTCACTCAGTGCTGCAGTCAGAGGTGTTACCACTGAGCTAGCTATTCGAGGTCTCGATTGACCTCCTGTAGGACTCTGTATTGGACACTAGTATGTAACTAGCGTAATATCTCTAGTCCTTTGTTTGGTGCACTCCTACAGGAGGTTAATCGTGAGGCCGAACAGCTAGCTCAGTGGTAGCACCTCTGACTGCAGCACTGGATGTCGCGGGTTTGAATCTCAGAAGGGATATGAGTTCCCTCAAAGCAGTTAGTTGCAGATACGCCCTCTTGCTGACTGGTGAGTGGCAACTAGCATGAAACCCACCCAGATCAAGCAAGGCTTCCTGCAAATTCCCTCCAACTATCTAATATTAACAAAGAGGTTCGAATCAACACTGTTCAACAGCGAAGGTTGTGTAGATGAAAAAAATACAGAAGATAATGTTTAACTATAAGAAAATATTTCCTATATATCAAATAAATTATTAATACATTGAAAGAGTTGGACTTCAATAGAAGACAACAGTCATAGTTATGGAGTAAGAAATTGCCATGCTAAAACTACTTGCTACTAATAAGTAGGTTAAAGTTTAAGACAAGAAAAAATAACTAAGGATAGAGGATGAAAGTTAAGTCTGACTCAATGTTCCGTTTCGTCGATGTTCAACTGTGAAAAAATGCTGGTAACTCGCTGAGAAGAAATCCATATACAAGGTGGCCATATGGGATGGACAATTAATCAAATTTCAGAGTTGTGTTCCTTTAAGCAGAGAGAGAGAGAGAGACCACAGATACACTCTTTTCTTGAGGATCCGGATAATATGCACCGAGGAATCAGTTGATGAAGGATTGCGAAATCTCCGAGGTATATTAATAGATAGTTATCCCCCAACTAGATTCATAGACAATATTCTAAATCCAAGGAAAATGCTTTGAAAAGGTCCAAGTCACCTCCCAAAAGACGTTGAATTTAAAAGTGCTACTGAATCAGAACTTCTCCGTAATTGGCTTTCGGAATCTCTCAGTAATACGTGTTTCGACTCCAGTTTTCGAGGAGCATTTTCTTGCAAAAAACTATTCAGCTAGCATGTGAAAGACAAGCTTTTGCATTTAGGCACTTCAGCATCCATATACTAGTTCAATTGCTCTTGCGGAGCCGAGTACGTTGACCGTACCATGCTTCTACTCGTGAAACTCTCTCAGGAACATTATCCAGCATGGTTAGCAAACGGTGAACTCAAGTGTGTGTATATAGTGCAGCAACAGAACATCTGGTGAATTGTAGACATTCAACTCCATTTGTAAAGTCCTTCAAAGATGCGATCAGACTTCTCAAAGGGATTAAAATCAAGGCATCGGTTATGCAAAGGTTCAAGTCCACGCTATGCAATTAAAAGAAGTACATCCAACTATCGTCTTTACCGTGGCCGATATAAGCAGTCGATTCCCTCTATAGTGATTATCCTATTGTGGTGAGAGCTGTCTACTAGCCAAATTGGTAGACAGTAATTTACGTCAATATTTACGTTCTCAAGATTTGTCGTGAGAAAATATGAACAAAGACTGATTCAAAACCGACCACAGCAGACTGTGCGTAGGCGGATACAGTTAACATATAGATGATTTGCCATTCAAGAAACAGTCACAAATAGATGGAAGATTAACTTTAAGTGAGAAACAACCAATCAGAAGACTGTGTTTGTTTGCTTAAATATCCATCGTAATGTACATGAAAATATATAAATATGAGTTGATTTCCTTAATAAACGATCTGTTGCCTGGCCCTTGTCTTCTGTTGTTACACTATTACCTTTCTTATCCAATCTTCCTGTTTATTTATGTTATTCTAATGTCTTTTTAACTCTACTCAAACTTCCTGCCTACTCTGTTATTACTCTACGTTTTTTTATCCCTGACTGCACAGAAAGTCAATTTCTTCGGTATTTGCGATCCTGCTATGGTTTATTTTTATCCTATCTACCCCTGTTTATTACACTTTGTGATCTTGTTAGTTTGACCCTTGATCGGAAATAGTCGTGGAACTTTCTCACCTATTTACTGTGATTACACACGAATGTACTGTTAATCGCGATAGATAGATAGACTGTATAATAAACAGCCAATCAACATTATGTGACCTTTTTTGTCGCGATTATTGGCCAATTAATGTAACTTACACCACGTGATGGTGACCTTGAATGTTCTTTTTTGTCTGTCACTCTACTTGTATATACATGTAATCAAATTGACTGTTCATTTTGTCCGTACCCTCAATACTGTTCGGTACGTTTTTGTCCTATTTTTGTAATGATAGTGGATTTGTACATTTTTCTTGGTGTAACTGCTGTATGATTTATTTTATGTTTTAGAAACAGATAAAGTTTAAGTCAAGTTATTCTGTTTTAACTATAGTGTAAGGCCAAGACTCTGTATCGTCAGTATTGAGGAAGGACTAAATCTGTAGGACAAAAATAATCCTACATGTACGTACTGCTGGCTGGTTGACCCCAGTCTAGTTGATGACTTCGTCGAGAAGAAAGTCTTCTCGCCAATATTATCTCCTATGAGCTAATGTGTATATTCCACAAGTTGAATTGTTTTCTCTGTCTATCTATAGTTCCGTTTTTTTTCTCTGTCTCTGTCTCTGTCTCTCTGATTTTCAGTTTGATCTACCTGTTCGTATAGAACCACATTTATTTGAATGGTACGGTTGGTATGCTGGTAATCGTTTACCGAAAATGATGACTCCTCATCAACTGAAACAAGCTGGTTATAATGTGGATATAAATTATAAACCATTAAGTGTATGCAGTGATAAAGATTTCAATGAATCTATACAAGGCTATTGTGATCGTACTGCTCTATTAATTAAGCGTATATTAAATATTCATAAATCTAAAGGTGAGTTATGGATTTTCGCTGACGTAGGGAGGCGTCGCAAGAAGGCAGGCAGACGTTGCTTTTGATTGTTATAATTGATGTGTTGTAACCGTTTGATATGCTATTGTTTTGTGCTATTTCTACTCTGTGGTCTTATTGCCAATGTGTCCCGTGTTCGACTCCCAACCCATATACCTCAACCGGGCAACTGGCTAGTATCACCAGTCTGTGGCTCATAGTCGGTTACATGGTATGAGTTAGATAAAAATTTACTCTGTGTCCAAAGATCTGGGAATTAATTAGGTGGGAAGATGGGATAAGTCAAGGTATTGTAGCTCTCTCTCTATATTTTCTCAAACTAGAAATAAATGTAACCAACCATATATCATTAAGTTTAAGGTGGTAATTTTTTTTCATTGGACGACAGTTCTCTTTTCATTTTTACTGTACACCCTTAATGTTTGAAATTCTGTATCCAATTTAATTACAAATTCTAGGAAGTGATGTGAATGTTTTCCCTTCGTGGAACTTGGTACAAAAGTGCATGTCAAATTACATAAATAAAGCACACGTAATGGTGGTTGAGAAGAAAGGCAAAGGACGAAAGAACTTATGGTAAACGAAAGTGTCCAACGGATGGGATAATTACATGATAAGAAATGTGAATCTAATATAAACTTGAAAGAGAGATTACAAGGAGCGGAACAATTTTGAGTTGTGTGACAAACAGTCCCCGGCGATTGATCCTTAGTTTGTTGAGAACTTCAGCTAGACAGTCTCCATCTCTATATCTACGTGACTTGGACTAACAGGGAAAGCCCTCGTCGACTGGTGTCATGTGTTGATTCCACCACGTGTAACTCTCTTGTTCAACTCTTGTCCTATGTCAGGATGGCGTTGCTTGACGAGTAAAGCAATTGTTCGGCACTCTGAACACATATTCTGGAAATCTCAATCGGTGCAACTTCACAACGTGACTCCTTGGTATTCCAAAGAAGTAGTAGTAGGGCAAAATTGCATAATTTTGCAGTTGGCACAGGTGGAAGTCGCAGCTATCAGACGATACGTAATTTTTAAGTCGTTTATAGTTAAAAAGAATCTGTTTAGTTTTTCATGTTAGATTTCGTTATGAATAAGCGTGAACTAACAAAGCTACGTGCGTCGGTGGTATAGCGGTCAGGACGCTCGCCGACCATGCACATGGTCCGGGGTTCGAACCCGGCCGACGCACTCCTTTACCTCGCTGAGTCAGAAATAATGCTGGTGAAGAGGAAAGGTTGGGCATGAGGCTAGCAACCCCATCCTGTAAAATAAACACTGCTACAGAAACTTCAAGCTTCTAGCTTGAAGCCCTATGTTCCACTGGGGAACGTGAAGGAAAAAATAAATAATATAAATAACAAAGCTACAGGGTATTTAACAGGCAAGTTTTGTACCAATGAGGCACTCTTCAGGTATGTGTGTAAGTCCTGAAGACCCGAAAAGGAATGAAGTCTAAGATTGTTATTTTTTCCAGGGAAGACCCACGGCTTCAATATTCGGTCACGTGTTTTCAACGACCTGTGTGAATCTGGGGTAGTGCTGTAGTTTTGTTCAGTGCTTTATTTATGAAATGTCTTCAAAAGCGTATACTTACGTGTACTTTGTGAAATACTTGTGATATACTTCCTTGGTAGTAGAACCATGCGTAAACCGTACCATGTAGAACAATGCATTGTTTTTGGAATCAATGAGTACCTTGGGTTCACTAATGTGGTGTATAAGGGTGAAAGTAGTTGAGCAAGCTGGCTCTTCCACTTATTGGGGAATCTGAGTAAACCCTAACGGAGTGGTATCTGGTTGGTGTGACATTCGCCAACTGATGTCATCTTTGTGTCCTAGACATAATATTCCGTTATCGATTAAAGGACGTGTGTACTGCACAGCAGCAGTTTGCTCTGTCCTCCTTTTTGCCTGAGAGACATGGTCATTGAAAGTGAGAGATAGTAGTATAATAGGCCACCTGTCTTTGATCACACACAAATTTTCGCGTTGTATCTTCCGTGTCAAGTGATATAATGTGGTGATATATGTTGTGTTTAGGCGCAGAGTCTTGGGTGAGAAGGAGAAGTCATTTGAGGAGGCTTTGAAGTCACGTCGATTGAGATATCTTCGACGTATGTTGCACATGCCGTGCCAATGTCGAACAATGTTACCTGATATCATACTATGTCGGAAACGAGATAGCGTTGGTCAAATTAAAAGCTGGCAAGAATTCATGAAATCTTTGATTGTTCGTCTGAGCCATGGAACCATGATAAATCTATTTGAAGGAAGATATTAAGAATCAATGTTTGCAGACAGTTTATTATATTGTTCAACCACCACTGGTACCCGATTCAAGGGTCAGTCAGTGCATGAATTCTAACTTCTGCCAACTGATGACATAGGGCGACCACTTCCCTGCCGGTTTCCAAGGTGGTTGTCAATTCTCTTGACTCACTCGTGGTTTCTTAAAACATGAGGTAATACGACTGACTGCCTGGCTGACTGGTTTCAATATAGAGGTTTTCACAGGAGTGCAGCAGTTCGGGTTAACACATTGCATGTAGAGTACACAAAGAGAAGACAAAAGAGAGAGCAGAAAAAAGATTCAGAAGAAGAAGGATAAAAGGCAAAATTATGAAGGAGACAGAAAGGGTATTAAGATGAGGGAAAACTGTAGAGTTTTATAGCTGATGACAAAGAGTGAATGCATCTACACCAGCCACTGACAACGATTTTTGATCATTTCACGGAAAGTCGTCAGTCATTGACTCCTTGAATGCGGAGGACACTTGAACTAGGAAGCCTGCACACCTGTATAGATGGCTGGCTATGAAACCGACTGTTGAAGATCTCATAGACTGATTCCATATTTAGATTTGAACACGACTACCTGTTTTCCAACATTCTCCCATCCTCTATCACTTAAGATTGTTCGTCGAGGAAGGCGAACATGTTTAGACATCTCAATCTTTGAAGTAGCTTTACAACTTGATCGATTGACGCTCCCTCCTTACCTGACTAAAACACTGGATGCCTGCGTAACTCGAATAATCACTCTCGTTTATTAATGCCATCGAATGAGTTTAATATAATACTGTATGATGCTATCCATTTTTTGCTTTTCTCTTCTTTTCTTTTCAAAACAAAAATTCTTTCAGATACGTGTTTGTTGATTGTTGGTCATGCTTGTTCACTGGACACCTGTACACGTCACTTGGTGAATCATGGCTTTCGACATCATCATCATCATATCTCTTCGGATGAATTCCAACATCGTACATCCATTGTACCGTATTGTGGTTTACTATTGGCTGAAGAGAATCGTCGATGGGATCTTGTTGAAGCGCCTATACCCAATGCTTGTTCATATTCGCGAAATTGTGATTATGATTGGAGAGAGTTGGTTGGATCAACACTGTGTAATTTTAAGATTAAATGAAGAGAGATTTGTAGAATGAATAATAGGGGAAGTGAACTGGAATTGATATTGACTGCATAATTGGATGGATGGGTGTTGGTCTTCTTTGTTCGGTTGGTGGTTGGGGTGGCAATTGACTGACTATGTAGTATTACTACTCGCGCTAGTCTTATTACTATTTTTTGTTTTGTTTTGTTAATTTGCATTTATATGCATGCGTATATGCATGTGTATGTGTATATTTTCGATTGATTTTGTCAAGACAACAAAGAAATGGCGCAAAAAATGTACAGTATTTCAGTAAGCGGGTCAGTCAGTGACTCACTGACTGGTATTTTCCTCCATATTCATACTATTTATATTATTATTATTATTATTATTATGATCGTCGGTATATTATATCACTCTTCACCACATATCCTACAGGGGCGCCTTCATCAGAGTTGTTTTTGAAGAAATCTCTCTCTATATATATACAGTATGCTACCTTAATCAGGTACTTGGTTTTCTTGTTTTGTTTGTTTCGCGTTTCTTTCCACTGGTTGCAAGCAAATTCGTTACACATAACACTGTTGTTGGAGATCGTTGACTAGGACTTGTGAGCAGCCATGAAATCATTTGTTACTATTATTATTATTATTATTATTATTATTATTATTATTATTATTATTATTATTATTATTATCGTAACAGAACAGGGGTGCAGTGCAGTGGAGTGTGTTTTCAATTTAATTGAATTGAATTATGTAAATATATAGATGTTGTTTATTTTAGTGTTCTTTCTTTCTTGTTTTTGAAGCTTGTTAGCATTAAATGAATGAATGAATGAGTTTAGCTGACTGACTGGCTGGCTGGTTTGCTGGTTGGCTGTGTGAAGTTGAAGGCTTCGTTTGAAGTCAATTAACCGGAAGAGATGTTTCATGCCCCACCCACCAACCTGGAAGTTCTGATGAGTGAGACAAGTGTTGTCTTTGATTAGTCTAGTCAGGTGATTTAATAATGATGAGTTGACAAGAGTTAGGAAAAAGCATTGTAAAAGTTTCAGGGAGCGAGTACTGGATAGCCAGCCGGCTGTCTTCTTTCTACTAATTTGTAACTGTTTGGCAGTGCTCACCCATCAACCCTTGTAGATTTGGAAGCCAAGACATTCTGGGTTGATGGTGGACGAGCTAGCTAGCTCGTATACTATTCAGGTCACCAGCCTTGGGAGGACCGGATCGTATGGCCGGCCAGCCAGCCAACCAGCCAGTGCATGAATTGTAACTTGTGCCATTTCATGACATAGGGCGACGACTTCTCTGCCGGTTGGTTTTCAAGGTGATTGGCAATGCTCTTTGCTCACTCACTCCTGGTTACTTAATATATGAGTCAATATGACTGACTGCCTGGCTGGCTGACTGGTTTTAACCGAGAGCTTTTCACAGGAGTGCAGCATTATTTCTAGTTGCCACATTGCATGTAGAGTACACATAGGTAGGGAAGACAAAAGGTATAGGAGAAAACGGATATAGAAGAAGGATAATAGGGAAAATTGTTCGGAACATAGAAAGAGTAGTAAGATGGGAAAACAATAGAG